TGAGAAAAATTTTAGTAGGAATTTATCTCCCAACATTTTTTGGCAGGGAAGATCTCAGGCGTTGGTTTTTGTCTCAAGAAGTTGAGCTGTTCAGGTAAGCACAGCATTTCAGGTAGAAAAAAATCATGATGAAATGTAATGAAAGCATCCAATAATTAACCAAGTATTAGGACATTTTTGGGACAAACATCATCCCTAGATCTTTATAGTTTCGACTTAATACAACAAGGTCCCATGTTCTGCCAGTCCTAAGCAAGCTTACAAAATACAAGATTTACGACATCACTTAATTAATCACAGATAAAAAAGCTCTAGAATCATTATCAAGGCCAACACTTAAAAACTATTGTTAGTTAGTGATACAGATTTAGTATGTAAGCGACTTTTAGTTGTAGAACTTTGAATGTCTTGCATGCCTATAATGCAAAATAATGGAATTACTTTTCTTTTTTCATGTCAGATTTCGTCTCACAGAACTGGCAAAATTTGATGCACAGGAAGTGGATGATTTTCTTAAAGCCAATGGCCTGAACTACCAGCCAGTATGCATAATAATATCACAAATTATTGCAAATTTATAAAATAATTATAATCATAACCAACAAGTCTCATTGAGTGAGGAAGCTTGAATTGAGTTTTCAGGATTGTTATACAAGTAGATGAGGTGTCTTTTTTGTTTATGTTTCTTGTTTTTTTCTATTTTTGTGCAGATAGAGGCTGTAGAGAGAGAAGAAAAGAAGTCAGAGCTGATGAATGCAGGCTTCAACCTCACCCTTGACAAAGTTTTGAATACTGACTATTTTAAGGTAAACATGTAATTCTAATTTGTCAACATATGAACACTAACTAGAGTTAGAGTTGGGCAGATAATTATCTAGAGTAAAGATAACTTTCCAGCAAACGACCACAGTCACTGCCAAGTGACACACTACAAATAAATCTGATTTACCTCTACCACCTTCTGATCAAATTTCATTTTTAACTTCAGGTTAAGTTTGTGGAGGCTCTCGACCTGGTAAAATCAAGAAAGGTGTATCTAGAAAATGTAAGTAAGAAAGAAGCATAGCCTGTTATATTTGCATTGTAAACATAAAATAATATATCAATACATAGCTTAGTATTATTATTAAGAACTGGATCGTTGGATAATGCAAGTCAAGAGTTTTCATTAGTTTAGCGATCATGGTATAATAAATATTGGCTCATATACCAAGACTGGTGAGGAAAGTGAAAAGTCAAAGAGCTCTACGAAAATTTATATGCCTAAATGAGCTTCAAAAAATGGGCTGCAGTTGAGTGAAAACTCTTGAATTGCATTATCCAAGGATTCAGGGCAATTATACCATGTTGCACAACTATAATAAGTGTATGATTTATGCATTATTTTTAGTTTTCTGTANTATATGTGTTATAATTACTGAAAATTAGAAGTGATATCCCTCTGCAGGTACCATACGAGACAAACTTTTGACGCAATGTCTGAGCTGCTCTTGTAAGCGACCACCTGAGCTTGACATTTTAGGTGGTCACTTATGGGAGGTTAAACTGTACATTAACCAATGTGTAATGTACATACCGATGTTTCCTTTAGATGACTGCCAGGGCTTTGCCTTACCTAGAGGAAGATGAGAGGCTGCTACCAAAGTTGACAAACCTCAGGTAAAATGCAAGATAGTCTTTGTTAACTCAATATAGAACCCTGTGAATCAGACCATTGATGAGTCACTAAGATCTCACCATATTAGAAGAACCATTTCTAAATAGTAGCATTTAAAATGTTATACAACACCATAACATAAAGCAGCATATTTTATTTAGTCGACAGTATGTTGGACAGGACTACAGTCACAAAAAAACAGCAGCAGGAAAAGTTACCTTGGATCAGATAGATAGTGTAAGTGCATAATTTTTTTTTTTTTTGTACATTACTGTACCAATACCATGGAATACCAGAGAGTGATCAGTATCTTATTTCTCCAATGTTGTGACCCCTTATTCTTTCACTCCACTTAAATGAGAATATAAGCCTTATGATTCTTGACTTACAGTTGTCAAGAAGCTCCTTTCCTTTGTGTATGCGTCAGCTTCATACAGCACTGAAAGAAAATCACCACTTGAAGCACGGTGGCCGTCTTCAGTATGGTCTGTTCCTTAAGGTTAGTAATTTGTGCTCCTTTGATGAAACTCAGAGAAACTGAGAATGTTATCATGTATTATCATCCCAGGCTGTGGGATATTTTATGCTATAATCTATCAAATATTTTTGCCTTTGTGTGATTGGTATAGATACATGACTGAATYTTCYTGATTATTTGGAAGCTGGTTAACGCTAACCCAGGATTAAAAGTTAACTGAATTATAACTTTTTCTTCTATACAAGTGTTTTTTGCTGCTTTGTTTTGTGTATATGGTGATTATTAAAACTCAAAATAGAAGGCCAAACAATATACAGAAAACCTCACCGCAAAGTTACAAAACTCAAATCAAAATTCTACCTTTTCCTGGGTTAGCTTAATCTGGCTCTGAACAACCTGGCCCAGGAGCTACGCTTTTAGGCTGGCCTAAATCTATAATTATATTATTTTATGTTTGCCTGTTTTATTGCAGGGTATTGGTCTCAGCCTGGAAGAAGCACTTATCTTCTGGAGAGCAGAGTTCACAAAACTTATGGATGTGGACAAGGTATTTTACAATAAACTTGCACCAAATTTTCATTCAAAGAAACGCCATCAGTTTAGAGAAAGATAATTTCTTGATCTTAAGACTAAAATTGGTCAACATATTTTAACGTGCTTGTGTTCATACTTAAACCAACAGCCAATAATCTGGTTTATATTTTTAGTTTGACAAGCAGTATGCATACAACATTCGTCACAACTACGGAAAGGAAGGCAAAAGAGCAGACTACACGCCATACAGCTGTATGAAGATCATCATGTCAAATGCCCCTGGTCCTGGCGATCATCATGGTATTATACTTTCAAAGCATGTTTTGGATCATTTTAAGATTTTTTTGCAAGATTTTACATCTTGCTTATTTATTTCCCACAACCACATTTTGTAAACACTGTATGGTTCTACAAAATGGTGAGTATCTATCCAACAGTAGGCTCAATTTCCAGCCATTTTGGGAGTACTTTTGTTAAATGGCTGGAAATCAAGCCTAACCCAACAGAGGATCAAGGGAAATGTTCAAGTGAAAAGGGCTTTCAAATACTTTTTTAAGGGAAGTATGATGCTTAACTGGAATGTCCAGAGCAGTGGAAGGAGATTCAAACTGAGAAAACTACCATGGGAAGTAGGGCTATTTTTTCTTCCAACACTGCCAATAATTAAGTTTCCTGTTGTTTGTTGTTGTTGTCGTTTTACTTGTTGTTGTTTCCGGGTTTTTTTTTTCCCCTGTCTTTTTTTCCGTTAAAATGAACGGTCAACTGAGGAATTGACAGACACATTTGTTATTACACTTTTTCCACAGGGTGCCCATTTAGACACACTGATGCTGATCTACTGCGCCAACGCTTAGCAGCTTACAGAGTACCCAAGAAGGGTATTGACGAGGTAAATCAAAGTATCCTCTGAAACATGTAACTGTTTTTTTTGAAAAACCTCAAATCATCTCTCAGATGTACTCTGTATCCAAGACAACACAGCATACCCACTAGAACTGAACTTGTGAGGACTGTAACTTGTATTGAACAGTGATTTTCATTGCTACCATGAATGTCCATCAGGCATTTTTTTGTTGTCATTGTGCAGTTCCAGAAAATATCCATACTTCCCCCACAGAAGGGATTGGAATTTCCTGGGGGGTGGGGGTGGGGGGTTCTATGAGACCAAAAAAAATTTTAAAAAAGTATGAAGCTTAACTGGAATTTCCAGAGGGGTGGGGAGGTGTTAGAAAAATCTCTTCCATGGGGGAGGTATGGATATTTTCTGGAACTGCACATTACTTTTTCACAGCTTTGTTACAACCTTTTCCTGGTTTTTCAAACTCAAGGTCCAAGGAAGGAGCTAATATATGAAAGATTTTGCACAGATGTTATTTGCAGTGCCAAACAATGGTCATAAATACAGTAGAACCTCGTTATCTGGAACTGTATTTTTTGTTTCCCTTAAGAATTTGAGATAATAAATTGCAAGTTCTTACATGTAAGTATGTAAGTACCAACCTACATGTCAAAAATGTCGAAACTTTGTCTAGTGATGGAAACATAGTATGCTGCGTCATAACAATTTCAAAATCTTGTGTACAACATTTTGGCATCATCTTGTTGCCATTCTCAAATGATACCACCTGGTCGCCATTAGATGACACAAAACATCCTGTACTAGCATTAATGTTCCTTTTAAAATGTTTCTCTATATCTTTTTTAATCAGAATTCTTGTGTGTAATGATTTTTCTGGTTCGCAGATAATGGAGTTTGTGAAAGAGTCCCATTACCAGCTGGCCTGTACAAGATACTATGAGCTGACACATGGGGTATTATTTTCTCGAATATGTGATCCTTTACTTGAAACTTATGCTTGAAAGTATTTTAAAGGAGCTCAGTCATGGTATTTTGAGTAATTTTGGCCGCATACAAAATTACCTTTAAATGGTAGGAAACCTGAAAATAACAGTTTAATAAGATAGAAAAACACCAGAGATAATGATAAACCATAAAGGAACAAGGATGGAGAAGATAACACAGATTGCAAACCACGAATTTGAAAAATTGAGGCTTAACGTTTCAATATGAGCAAACCGTGACCAAGCTCCTTTAATAGTGTCTACAGAGATTGACACTGAAAAAAAATGTATTCATGTGGACATATTAATAATATAAGAGCCTCAAATTAAAAGTTTTTCTAAAAATTTTCCCAACAGGTAACAGCCAGTTCTGCTGTTCATCATCCCAACCAATACTTTGATGAGAGTCATCAGTCACTACAGGATAGACAGGGTGGGGCATCGCGGCTAGGAAGTGCTGCTCACAGTGGACTTGATCATGGGAAAGTTACTGTAAAGAATGAGATCAACAGTAGCACAAATGTCCCTCAAACTGACACAGACAATGACCTGGGAGACATTCAAATGGATGATGATGACGACATTCTCGGAGAAATAGAAAAAATGGACACAATGGCATAGCTTGTGGATGAATCTTGTTCATATTTTAAATAACAAACTAATGGCACATTTGGACATTGTAACTTAACTGTAGCAAGAGAAGGAGTTGATACTATCTATTAGAGTTACATGGCCCAGTTAGCTGAGATTTACTCTGTGCTAAAAATAATGAGGACAGGAGACGTAACATACACTGAATTATTTTATTTTTGTAACAACTATATCAGTGCTCTTACAAATTTGCTGTACAGAATATTACAATCTACTTTATAATGCATTTTGTTGTTGCATCTAGGTCTAATGTAAATTAACGTTTTTACAAACATTTATTTTTAAGTATTTGTTTAAATAATAAATATCTAACAGCACATAACGTATATCTCCTTGAACAAAAAAAGGCAATCTAATACCTTTTTTGCATGTACAAACTTTCATAGATTGCTTTGTTTTGATTTCAAATTAGCATTTACTTGTAATCATCAAACAATTCTATTTCTAAATGTATTTCTGTCAATAATTGGGCAAAACAACTGAAATTCCTAATTCCCACCACAGATAGGTGCTACAAAGACGATTCAAGTGACCTTCAGTATTTCTCACACTTGGAATGATTTTTGCAAACTAAGTTAAAGGTTATTTTGATATGATTAATCTTATCTTTCACTTCACAATCACATTAAAACAAAAGCAATTTAACCTTGTGAAACTAAAATTTACTGCTGCTCATTTAGTTTTGCAAAAGATACCCTTGGCATATATACATGCCTATCTACAAGTTGTTTGCAACACGTTCTTTTGCTACCTGACCAAATATCTTGAAATTGGAATGCATTTTGGTTGTTTTACTTGTGAGATGTGATTAAAACACAGCTCTGTCAAGATGTACTTGCACTAAAGTACAAATTAAACTGATATTTAAGCATTAACCAATTCCTCATCTGAGTCATCACTAGAGTCCAGCTCCTCATCCACCACGGACTTGCGTTTTTTTGCTATCGACACCCCCAGGCCAATAATGTATATCTGTTGAAAAAAGAAAAATCACATCAATGCCTTTACTGAGTTCAATGCAACATCATCAAAATCTGATCCATCTGCTTATATTGACTTTCAAGTGTTACAGTCAAGGGCATCAAACACTTTTCAAAGGTTTTACAGCACTGGCCAGGGGGGAGGGGGGGAAGTCTAAAGTTGAGTTCATATGTTAAACAGTGAAATCTTTTCAGCTAATTAAGAGTTCTACAATATTGCAAGCTTCATGCGTCAGAGGCAAAAATTTAAATATACTAACTAAAGGTGTATTTCTGTAGTTTTGAGTTCAAAACATTTACTTGAAGATTCCCAAATATGCTCAATGAAGAAATTCTTATTTATTTTCTCTAAAAAGAGATCGTCCACTTGATGTCCATCTGGCAGAAGCAAAACAATTATAAACACAAATAATTCCCATAAAATTATGTTGGTGGAGGAAATAATTCTGCACTCATATATTACTACTCAGTGTCAAAGGATTGTAACTTGTTATCTCCTGTTTGTAACATCTTCAGTAGTGTGTGAAGTACTTACTGCCAGGAAGAGCCATGTTCCCCAGTAATAGCAGGCACCAAAAAACCAAACTTTGTAGAAAAATCTGTTGAGTAACATGGCAGCTCGAGTCATGATGCATGCACCTAATAAAAGAAAAAAATGACCACACTGGCTGTCAGCAAAATGTATCCTCGCACCTGCAACCAAAATTACTATTAAAAAATAAAATAATTCAATGAAGAAACTTAATTATCAACAATATAATACATACAACAAAAATTTCGGGCATGTAAGTGAAACATCACCTTGTCCTATGTAAGGAAAAAATCCTTTCTGCAGAGGGTTATCGACAACTTTCATCAAACAAGTTACCAGACAACATGTGGAGAATTGTCACATCATGCACACATTTTGAAGTGGTCAGAGTCCTTTTATTTTGAATAATTTAGTGTTTACTATAAAATATACAAGTGTTTGCACAAACAACCTCCCAGTCAACTAATCTATGTACAGCAAGTGCTCAAAGATATATAGTCATTGTAAACAGTGAAAATACAGCCGTAAACAGACCTTCAGGGGCAGCAGTGGAGCAGACTTTTGTTTCAAATGTAGTAGTCACAGTGCTATTTCCAGGCGCAGTGCCATTAGTATGAACTGTTGTGTTACTGCTGTGACCTGCAGTAGATGTTGTGTTCTGCAAAAGAAAGTATTTTAATTACGCTTACCGGTAAATACCTTTTAACCTATTGTAAGTAATTCCATATTCAGGAGCTAGATTCACTGAAAAGTGACAAGCTGGAAAAGAAAGATATCCAAAGCGCTATCAGTGATGTAACTGAAATATCAACTTACTCTGTAATGCTGGCTGCCATACATGACGTACTGAGGAGCCAGTGTAAACAACATAATGTTTAAGAAGAGCATAGTCAACATCAACATCAGAACGAGAAACAGCAGAGCTTGCGGCATAGTCTTGCGGGAACGTATTTTGTACAGCTTTAAACTGTGAGTTAAGGATGGACCTTACTGAAGGAGACATTGATATATGCACAATTTAAATGTACTGAATTTTACATCATTAAGTAAACATTTTATCAAATCGGACTCTATGTTCATTTTATACATAGACGTTAAGTTTGTGGTTTCCTTAAAAAGGGGGATGTACATTGTATAAATACTTCGCCAAAAGATGCTTGAAGGTCCACATGGATCGAAACCTTAAGATTTATGGATAAGGAACTAAAAAGGTTAAGTCTGCATCAAGCCAAACAGCTCGCACAGCCAGAGCTACACTAATCGCTGCTTCTGAAGCATTTACCAAAGATTTTCTCCTTCCCTCGAGATGCTTTCCATCACAGGGAACCCACCAGCATGAAATTAGAAAGTCTTGCCAACAACAATGCCCAATTTTCCTGGCCAGAGCTTTTCCCCGGAGTCGCCTCAAAAAGGGCAGGCACAAGTAAAATAAAAGTTTGTGGAAAAACTTGGAGGATACTCTAATCCAGCAGCAGCGTATGCTAATTGCTCTGATCCCAGACATGGTACAGTAAAGGAAGTAGAGAACAATGGCCACAAACAAGCAATAGTCCAGTGGAAAAACCTGAAAAATATATGAATGAAATGTGTAACCGATATCTTAAACCCAAGCAATAAAACGAAATGATACAAGAAGCTAAAAAAAAAAAATAAAGGATAACAGCACCTTCTGTGCATAGACCATGACAATGTTGATAGGGTTAGGCAGCTGAGGTTTGGTAAGTACATAACCATACTTGTACCCCAGTGAATTCAGAGCCTTGTCCAAGCTAGAAATAGATATATTCCAGACGAACATTAATTTGTTAAATTTCTTTTTTAGTTGACTTTTAAAATGAAAAAAGAGTTTTTGCTGATAATTACCAAGTAAGAAAGAGTGAGACGATGATGAGCAATCCAAGTAACAAGAACAAAACACCAAATACAACTTCAAATGGACGACAGCACTTGAGGCATTTGTTAAGCCAGCCAAGGTTTGCAGCCTGTAAATGTCTCTCCCTTCTAATGAGGAGTTTTTCCTCTCCCTCAAGGCGTGCAAGCGTTCTTCGATCACGGCCAGTCATTGGATGCCCATCCATGTACTTGGCTCGGATCATGCGTGCACGCTCTTCAACTGATTCACGTTCATGGCTGACCTCCAGATGTTCTTTCTAAATGCACATGATTATAAAAAATAAAAAATAAGAACAATCTAAAGACACACTGACTTCGCATTCAAATCAGTCTTCATTTGTAGTTTAAAGTGCAATTGGGCAATGTCAAGTGCTTGAATGCATACTTCATGTATACTCATTACTCATATTAATACCTTTGAGTTCTTAAACCCTTTCAGCATGGAGAAGGGTAAGGACGTCATCCCATAAGCCTAAATAGAGAACAACAGATAACAAAATATTTAATTAAACTAAACATTAAGAAAAGTGCACTGATCACTAGTATTGCAAACTTGTTTTATTTTATGTCGTACATGTAAATGATGAATTCAGGAGGTTGAAAGTATAAAATAACCTATAACCTGATCATCTCTGAAAAATGGTGTTGACCGAAAATCATATTCTCCTAACTGGGACTGCATAAAGAAGACTTGAGAAATTAGTAAACCACCATAATGTACTTACTGTGTAGGTGATCATGATAACCATGCCAATGAAGGAAAGGAAACCCATGAGCAGTGACAGGGCAGTTTCACCATCTCATAAAGAAAAATAACAAATTAAAATACATTGCAATACAACACAAGGTAAACTTTAATTTACATTTTATTCTTTAATCTTTACTTTTGAGTCATAACAGATCAAAAATTGTATTTAACAAGGAATGACGTACTTATATTTCTGGAACATTAAGATTGGAATAAATTACTTACTATGAGCCTGCAATTCATCTTTTAAGAAGCTAATTTTCTTCTCCCATTGGGTTATATTCTTTGGAGGCTTTTTCAATGGTGCAAAGGCTCTGCAAATCAATTTTCGAATAATTCTTGAAATTTCTCATATGATTATTGGCTAACTATGGTGCAGTGGCCTCATGGTTAGTGCGCTCGTTTCTAGATCAAGAGGTCTGGGTTCGAGTCCTGGCCAGGGACACAGTGTTGTGTTCTTGGGCAAGAACTGTGATGGACTAGCATCCCGTTCAGGGGGACTGAGTGGAAATACTCCTAGCCGCTTCATGCTACAGAAATCGGGATAAGCTCCAGTAGCTATGAGCCAGTTGGCTCCAAGACTTCACTTATAGTGCTTATAGAATAATCCTTACCCAACAAGAAGAAGAACAATGGCAACTATCAAAAACCCAATGGTGTACTTCAAGGCACCACACATCCTCTGTAAACAATAAAGAAAATTTGTAGTTAGCACATGACAAGGAATATAATTCATGTTCCTTTGAGAAGAAAATTAACTGAAAGTCTGTCTTTTTCTGTCACATGAATCTTACAGACTTCTACCATCTCATTTTTTTCTACCAAAGAAATGCCTGGAATCTGCTGAGTTATATGTATGGGTTATTGACCAAGTGTGAGGTCAAGATGGCTGGATATTGGCCAAGTTCTTTTTTTGCGTGTTTATGAACCGAGACAGAGTCGAGGTCCATAAACTCGCAAAAAAAGAACGAGGCCAATATCAAGCCATCTTGACCGAACAAGCTTGGTCAATAAAGGATTTACTATATGGTTTTCACGGAAATTTTTCTTGCGGGACATGGCGGGTAGTCCCAAGCAAGCAAGATAGCTCCATCTTGCCCGCTCATGGAGCTAGCCATATAATAAATTGTATTCACCTGTCTTGTTGTGGCATCCTCATCTTTTTCTTCATAGTAGAAGTACATGAATGGCATGAGTATGAATGCAAAGAATGCCACCAACGAGTACAGCACTGAAAAATAAAAACAGCATTGAACTTCACATTTGTTTAGTATACTTATTTGTTTCAAATTTTAAGATATTTCCAAAAAAGAAAAGAAATGAATGTTTTTAGCATCTCTGTGTAATCAAGTGGAAGCCCAGGTTACACAATAAATGCATAATACATTTTAGCAGGGTACTGTTTGATAAAGTTGGTGTTACAAAGACATACAATGCACATGGTAACTTAGGGATAAATTTTATTTTTCCTCCATTTCCTAGCCTTGTGGAACCCGCTAAACAGAGCAACTCATAACTGATTTTATACAATAAAATATACCACACAATACCATAATATCCTACAGCAATTGTCTGCTCAAATTCATCTCTCATAGTCCCATTTGTGCTCCAATCCTGTCAAAAGAAAGAACAAAGAACTGTACTTTCCTTAACAAAAAAATGAACATCTTTTTTGTCAATAACCATACCCCCCCCCCCCCCCCCCCCTCACCTCCCCCGAGAGGAATAGGCCCTTTAGCCCCATATTTGTTACTGGACGGCCACTCACAGAATCCTAGCCAAAACGTTGATTCACTGCATGCCAAGAATGAATTTTATTACAAGGGGAATGAATAAATAAAATTAATATTTCCCTAGACATCAAACAAAAAAATGCAAGGCAGCCCCATCAGTAACGCAATAGACGCTTAAATGTGTCTGATACTTTGTTAAGTTTCTTTCTGAATATAATTTTGACAGTAAAGCAAAACGACTGTGAAAGATAAGAAAAAACAAATTGTTTGAAGCCTGTTTCAGGCGATCAGATTGTGGCGAGTGACAAGATTAAGATTGCGACAGTAGAATATCCCCCC